AAATGCCAGCTATTTAGGTATTGTTAAGCAATATTTTAGGTTTAGGATTTCCTTGACTTTAAACTCAAAGTGCAAACTATGAATCCTCAGTGGTACCTTAAGTGATGAATGGGGAATAAAAACCCTTAAACTCCGAAGATCTCAACATCAATTCTCCTTGCTGTCTAACAAATTTCTCACAAATCTACCGCTAAGAATTCGGAGTGCAATCAAACTTTATCTTCAAGTCGGTATTTTTCTTTCTTCTTGTAACCCTTCTGCTAGACAATATACATGTGCATCAATATTGTAAGGGTAAATATCTAATTCTGGAAGTGAAAAGGTTTATCAAAACAGCCGCTGGTCATGCAGATACTGGAAATAAGTAGGTTCAAATTCACAAACAGATCCTATGTTGGCGTGTTTCTGTTCAGTGACAGATCACAGATGACGTCAAAATGTGGTAAGAACAAAGAGTTGGCACAGGAAGCCCAGCCGAGTGAGTCACTGATGTTCTTGCCAAATTTTGACGTGTTCTATGATCTTTTACTGGACAGACGCACGGCAACATACAGATCTACTTGTTTCAAATGATAAAAGGGCAAAATGTGGTTGATGGTGAATTCAGCTACGCGTCTGTCCACAGTTAACCCTTTAACCCCTATGAGTGACTAGCATCTAATTTCTCCTTACAATATCACCCTTTAATCAAACATTAAGGAAATGATCACCAACTAATGCAGCTCTTGATTATTAAACAAATTCTCTTCGTCAGCACCTTGGGAAATGTATGGTGAATAGTATGGAGAATGTGGATACTGATGTTAGGGGGTAAAGGGTTAAGAACCAATCAAAATACATGTATAATTCAGCTCATCATGCAAATTCTCAAAGTAACTAAGCGTGTTACATACGGCAATTTTGCTCATCAGAATTGTCTCCACAATCATTGTCATGGTCACACTTCCAGTGGGATGGGATGCATCTGCTGTTGGTACACTTGAATTCATTTGGATCACAAGTGCCAGCTACAAAAGTTACAAAGAATTGATACAACAACATGTAATCGATTGATAATAGATTATCGATCCTCGAAGTTTTCGAAAATCGTAAATCAAGTTATACGTTTCGAAGATCGAGTTCCCAGGGATTTACATTTGACTATTATTGGGTATGTCTAGGTACAACTAATACGATATTTTTAATGAGAGTGCTTCGATCCAGTTAACTAACAGGTTGACCCAACGGAGGCAAGACTGGGAGCCTGACTAAATCTTCCCTACGAAATAACGTCGTCACAGTAATGGCAAAGTACTCACTTCTTGTGGTACACTCTCCGTTACTGTCCATGTATTCACCGGTTTGGCATTCACACGTCACAATTCCAGACACAGATGTCACAGTTCTCATGTTATCGGGACATGCACAAGCATAGCTGTTTGGTACTGCTAAGCACAGGTGACTACAGAGTTTGAGCTGAGAGCAAGAGTTGTTACCTGACGATTTAAAACCAAATATTCAGTGTCAGCTTTCACTCCAGAGAGAGGAACTCTATGGATCAATATCAGTATCTAATCATCTACACACCTACCCCTTCCCTAGAAATTAACTCCAACTTGTTATTGGTTGATTGTTGTTGGGTTAGGGGAGGGGTATGTTTGCAGTTCCCCCCATAGTGATTACATTGATTCAATTCTATCGCCAGAAATGTTTTCGGTAAAAACATAAATACAGCAGTTTCGCGAGGCTTGAGCACTTGCTAAAGTAAGAGGACTGTAGTAACTTTAGGACCAGCTACGTCATGGTTTGACCAGGAATTACCCAATTCGTTGAAATAAAACTTCACAGGTGTAACAAATGATAATAATTATTAAGAATGATCTTTTAGGTCGAATTTTGTTGACATAAATGGGAATGAAGCATTAAGTGTGGGGATATTTTGTAGAGAATTTCGTAAGTGCCATTTCGTGATTATAAAGGAAACCGTTACATCATACGATCCAAAATGGGGTCTACCAGGAAATTTATACATCGATATTACTTGAATTCTTTACCTGCTTTTAAACATTTCAGTTGTTTCCCATATGTTCTAATAAGTGGTCATAATACAAGACGTTTTATCAGTTTAACCCTTTCACTCCCAAAAGTGGTTAAAATGTTTCTTCTCCTTATAATATCCAAACATTATCCATCAAATAGGTAATGAGAATACTCAAACTTATCAGATAGAAATTATCTTGATCTAACACCAAATTCTCGTAACCAATTTACAAGGAAAGGTAGAGCAGCTAGAAGGGAGAATTAACAACCAGATCTTGGGAGTTGAACGGTTAACTGCACTTTAACTCGTTCCATATCTGAACGCTTCCTTTCAAATCAACAAACGACGAGCCTTACTAACCTATCTGGGCATCTTCGTGGAAAACTTTCACGTCCATAAGGCCACGCACACCCGACTTGATAGTCTGCCGAGCACCACCGTCTCGTTTGTTCGCCTTTTTAATCGACTGCGTTGACCAGTCATCCCAGTAGATTGAATCTTTGAACACAGATATCGAGTACGGATGGGGAAGTCCCCTGCTGGCTATTACCTAAGAAACACGGAAATGTTTATGATCTTTCAGTTTATCTTTATATACAAAATAATACGTACGTTATGACTAAAGGGGGATCGGACAGGGAAAAACATAACTCAAGGTCTCGTGACCGATAGCTAAATATTTTCCGTCCAGCCCGAACTTACTCAGTCAATAAGCGTTTTATCATATGACCATCGTCCGTTCTTTTTCTTACTTTTTCCTCTCAGCCCGCAGCTTGTGGGGCCTTATGATTCACATAATCGTGTATGGCTCTCAAACAAGGATTCTCGACGAAATGTTTTTCAAAGAGAGGGCTGGAGGCGTCGTTACTTTCAGTCTCTCTGGTCATGCGTGGAAAATAGTAAAATTAATTTTGAATTAATCCTGGCCTCCCTCCGAAAAGTGAACGCGACAAAAAAGAAAAAAGTCAGCAACACGGGATATTGTGTGTGGTCTCCCATCTTCGTATCAACCCCAGCTAAATAGGGCTTAATTTCAATGAGGAGCAAAACCACGTTGATAATTACCATATCTGAGTAAGACGACACTCAAGCGAATTTTAACGTGGTCAGACAAAGGCATCCCACGGAATGAAAGTGCACATGGTGAACGGGTTATATAAGAATGTAAACTAATTATTTTCAAAATAACCTGGTGGAAAGTTGAGGGTGGAACTGAGGTAATTCCGTTTTGAGAACTGAGTAAATAAAGTAAATTGCCCACCGTATAGAGTTTTAAAAGCTCACGTTTTGCGCGTTAACCTTCGTCAGAGCGAAAGAGGAAAGGCTGGCCCTTGAAAAGTCCGCCCAAAAAACTCTCTACAGTAGCCGACTTATATTATCAACTCTCACCAACCAAATTATCCTGTAATCCCGCCCCGACGCCGCCTCACAGTTTCTTTAACACTCCCTTTGTTCATGTGTAGAACTAAGAGACAAGTAACATGCGATAAACACAATTTACCTGTCTGTAACTTCCATCCAAGTTGCTCCTCTCAATTCTATCCTTACCCGCATCAGTCCAGTATAACTTTCGCGCAACAAAATCAATAGCTATTCCGTTTGGCCACTGAAGGCCAGATGATACAATTGCAGCGCGACCCGCCCCCGTCATATAAGACCTTTCTATTTTCGCATGGGTTCCCCAGTCTGTCCAGTACATGTACCCAGCCACAGGATCCAAGACTATAGCCCTTGGACGGTCGAGGTTGCTGATAATGACTTTACGGAAACGCCCATCTGCTCTGGAAACTTCAAGCTTCTTTCCAACAGCATCTATCCAATAGATGTTGTCTGCTAGCCAATCTAATGCAAGTCCTTCCACCTGCTGAATTCCACCATGCAGAGTTTCAATTATTCCTGTCAACAGATAAAAGTAAATATAACTCCAGAATGTCAAAGTGGATCACAACTTTTCGACTACACTGTACCGGTCTTCTCCAGGCATAACGTCGAAGGGAACACCGGATGTGACTACATCGTGAGAAAAACGATAAATAATAATAATAATAATAATAATAATCATAATCATAATAATAAAAATAATAGTGCTCGGGGCGTATCAAGAAAGACACTAGAGAGTACTAAAGAACTTGTAGGTGTCAGGGCAGATAAGATCTTACTGGATATGCAAAAGGCAGTCATCTCAAGTACCCTTAACATTGCACGGAGTTTCAAAGTTCTCACTGCGCAGGACCTATGAACTGGCCAAACTTTTACCCATAACTTTTTGGGTTTCTAATATCATTTGAGAATTTCTTTATTTTACGAATTATTTTAGGCTATGGTAATGACAAGCTACGCGATTGCGCCTTGTCAATATCTTATTGGCATCCTTAAGGCATCCTTAAGGCATCCTTAAGGCATCCTTAAGGCATCCTTACGTTTTACTGCCATTATAATAATAATAATAATAACAACAACAACAACAACAACAACAACAACAACAATAACAATGGGATTCAGCAATGGAAATTCCACAAGAAGGTTCTTGTCCACTGTTTCCAGGTCGAATTAGAATTTGGAATCGTTAGTTTTTGTGGAGGGTGAAAAACCGGAGAACTCGGAGAAAAACCCTCGGAGGAAGGACGAGAACGAACAACAAACTCAGCCCACATATGACGCCAGGTCCAGGAATCAAACCTGGGCCAAAGTTCTGGGAGTCGAGCGCTCTCGCAACTGCGTCGTCCCCATTCCAGTTTTGCACAATTGTTTCAACCTACCAGAGCCATTGAGAAAAGAACGCTTAATGGTGTCCAGGGTGATGTCGGCCCAATAGATGCAGTTCTGTGCGTAATCATAGTCCAACGCGATGACATTTTGCAACCCACTTCCAAGTGGAATAGTTGTTTCTCTATTGTCGCCGAGTGAGATTCTCCGGATGAACCTTCGTCCAGCGTAAAGTAAGAACTGCGGCTGAGCTGTTGAGTACACACAGAAAGAAAATGAATTATTTATGTGATACTAATCATTAACGAATAACAAAATACCGCATAAGGCAAAACATCAACGTGACATTAAACACCAAGTGGTAGTAGAAAATGAACTGGTACTCCCCGAGTACAAGCAAAATACACCAGGATCCAATATTGAACCCTTCGCCGGTCACCAAAGCAATAAAAGTGAACGCCCGTGCTTGTGACATTTTGACTTGTAAACCATTCACACCAAACTAGCCCGCAGGGCAGGCGTCATTTTGGCGAGCGACTGCATAGTATTCTCTTGGTCAAAATTATCGCTGCCTTCGTTGGTTATTGCTTTCGAATAACTGTTGGCTCCTAAAGGAGCTAAAGTGCGTCTTTAGTGTGGCTAGGAATTGCAAGTTGATCGAACCTTGTTACGATTTCGCGGTGAAAACTGCATGATGTTCGGAGATATCAAAATTTCGACAGGAAATAAAAACGTTTTATTGTAGGGAAACAAGTCCAAAGATTTGGAGACAAAGTGGGCAAGATGGGGGCGAACATCCAGTTGTAAATAAAGATTTCCTTACGTCCTATTCTGCAAGAGACCATGACAGCAGAAAAATGATCCTCCATTCCTCCTGAACAGGTATCTCCAGCAACCTTCCGATAACTGGAACACAAATACAAAAATAGCGTAAGTTGAAAAAGTACCATTTATTTGTGGTCTGTATAAGTAATCAAAAACTATTTGTCAAGACACGATGCTGATGCTTTGAATGCTTAAGATGGTTATTAGCTAAATAACA